GCCGGGATATATGTTCGACAGCTGACATTTACATCGGCGGGAAATCCGTTGTCCAAATTCATTATGCCTTTAGCGTTTTTCCGCTGTCAATTTGAATTTTTAGTAATTTTTTTTAGTAATTTTCACGTCTGAGAAATGATAATGACTTGTTTATCCACAAAATATATTTGCCGACGATCATTTCTATTTAATTGCGCGCTTAATTTCTCATGTATATCAATGTCAACCGGAAGTTTATGAAAAATAAAAACAGCCTGCGATGTGTTTACTTAAACCGCCGTTATCGCTAGCGAAGACGAGAATAGAACTATTATTTGTGCAATTTGATAACGCGAGTGCATAGCTATTCAAAAATTCAATACTCGCTTAGGACAAGGTTCTGCCAACGAATTGGATTAATTATCTCTTGTTTCTTATCCTGTTTTGTCGTACCTCTTGAGGCCCGCTATCCCCCAGCCTCAACTGCGGCTCTATCAAAACGTTAAAGCAAAATCTTGGCCGTTATCGACATGATAACGCGACTCAAGGTTACTGTTGGAGTAATTGCTCAAAGTAATCATGACATTATGTAAAAACCGTAAGATAACCTTCGTACGCTGATTTGGGAAATCGCGTTATTAATGTATATTATGCAGAATAAAGAAGAAATCTTTAATTTTTACTTGAATCGATAAATTGTGCTCCGCGAACGCATTATATCTCTTTAATAAATCTACACGCTTTGTAAGTGTAATCTTGTGTCTCAATCTTAAAGCGATCTATTTTTTGTAATTATTTTTACAATATATAATCCGTCTGAATTTTATGAAAATTATAATCTTGATTTATTAAAAGTTTATAGAAATTTCGGAATGTTTGAAACGCTATGACAAAAATATCACGTCTACTATAATATAATGTTAAAGTTAATCTTGTTAAAGTTTTTTGCTTTTTATTTAGAATATTTTTGACACTAATTATATTAGCGATATTCATGCGGGTCGATTAAACTGTGTACTGAATGGCATTTCACGTTAGTGTTATCTGCGTCATCGATGCTATAGCACATACTTCAATCAACTGTATAATGTGCGCATCCTCTTCACTTAACAATAATCAACAAAATAGATATTCAATTTCTGTAGCACTTCCTAGACTTTCAGAAATTGTTAAGCATCGTGAACGTTAATGCACAGGTACGGTAATGCGTTAATGTATTCATGCAACAGTTGCGATTACGCAATATTTTATGTTACTGTAGATCGCGATTACCGTGACAAATGCTAAAATTAATTCAACTCTCTTATCAAGCTCTATTCGCCGATATAAACATAGCGAGCGATCGGTCTATCTCCAATTTCTCCGGTTTTTATCTCCGGCGGCTTAATGATCGCGATAGATCGCGGACGTTATTTTATTTTATTTACGCGACAACGTATCCCGAGTACAGCGTTTTACGTCGTCGCGCCCTCACCCTTTCCGTCCATTTCTCGAGCTGTCCCGGAGGTATCGTTTGCTAACGTTACAGCACGCTCCATTCTACGGAACGGACACGAGATACTCGGAGTTCGCCGAATAGGCACTCGGCCAGATACGCAGCGGATACCAGACGCTAGGCCAAAGCGCCGATTGTTTATTGCCGGTGACGTGTCTCCGGG